CGTTAAAACTCGAAACTATTTGCTTGAATAATCTACCCCACTAGCGAGCACAAATGCCTTAAAAATAACTTTCCGATATTGTAAAACGCTATTGTTAAAAACCAACGAGTGTATAGGTCTCAATAGCCAAACATTGTTACAAATACACCTTTATGGACTCAAATATCCGTGTAGCTTAAACAACCACTAGGATTTTATCCATTCAAAGGCCTACCAGTAGCGTCACCCCAATAAAGTATGCAGGTGTCCTGTTTTTATAAATTGCACAGTTGGGATGTTCAAAACTGACATAGTCCGCAGTAAAACTGTCATAGAAAAGAGATGTCAGGTAGGAATTGCAGCGGACACTAATAGAGAAAAAGGAATAACATTACACCAATGATCGTGTAACAGAAAGAGATGCAGACAGGCAGAATTTGAGCATGTTGTCAGCATTAGACTTTATAAAAAGTTCAACATTCTCAGGAATTTAGTAAAGCAAAATTGCTTTTTAAAGATGTAATTCCAACCAGGCAGTTATAAATATGAAGAAAAAAGGACATCCATTCTCACATTGGACACGCACCTCTCCTATCCTGAGCTAATCTTCGCATTTCCATGAAGCAAGAACATCCTATATCCTTAACTATTTAACAGTAATCTAATCTAGGTGTACCGTCCTAGTCCTAGTCCTCACAATTGAACAGTATTTTGTATTGATTAATTCATAATAATAAGTTTAAATGACGCTGACGCATTTTTGCTTCCAGCTCCAGTGCATGTTCTTACAAGTACCTAAGGTCTAACTCTGAAGCTACAGATGAAATTTACTATACTATAGTTAGGAAAATGTTTAATTAGGTTAGCTAAAGTAGAGAATAATTTATTTTGATTCAATATTGAAGCGTTTAGATGTGATTGCGTTTTACATTGAGATTATTGCAATAAAAAAAAGGGGCAAGAACTCCACAAGTAATTGATATATTTGCTACGCCACTGATGCTGATGGTGATCATCATCACCTTTTCCAGTATCTTCATTATGCTGTGACTGTGGTATTTGTCACATCTCGTGTCTCCTTCTGGTTGTACGACGGCGACTGCCGAATATATTCTTATCACTATTCCGACCTATTTATCTAGGTACAAAAACCTAGCACGATTTAGGTAAACATCGATTATGTCTGGGCATCGCAGCGTGCCTAATCTTCCCTAATGCCATTGCGATTAGAGTTCGCTTCGCACCTCGGTCATGGACTGAATGGGGTCCCAGATTATGTCCTCGACAATAGAGCACCGGAAGAGGTTTAGCTGTGACACGTCGAAAAGTTGGACGATTCCACGGCACCCCTCGTTATTCTGAACTAACCGGAATGGTTTTCGGGATACGGTAACCATACTTGTTATTATAATCGCCAGTTTTGCATCTAACGGTATTGTTACAACTGTTGTTTTGTTGCCAAACTTACCAAACATAAGCACGTAAAATGTGCACGTAAACAATTGTTATACTGAGTGTGTGGTATGAAACAATTTCATCAGATATAAATTAGGTTTTTGATAGAAATATATGAGGATTTTTAAATCCTAAATGTCGCACTAAATCTTCCAGCAAGTACATTCCTTGTAGTAAATGTTTTGCTCGATGTTCTTGAGGCCTTTTTGAAAGGAAGTACTTTTAAAATCTTGTATCATCTATTTTTCTATAGGTAAATGTCTGAGAAATCTTTAAGCGTTGTGAAGGTTTGAGAATATTCGAATGTCCAATCTTTCAATTTTTCGATCTTGTTGAGGTCAAAATTGCTTGATGATGATCAAAATCGACTTATGAATGATACTCATTGCCAAGAATCGTTATATGATAAAATGATGTTTGTAATTCATGCACGGTACCAGCAGGATTTTCGCAATGATTTCTTTGATTTTCTAAAAGTCCCTATCTCATTGTAGGAATCTCTTGAATCTCAGCCATGGGATTTGTCTAAATCTTCTAAAAATTTTATTCTTTTGATGGTCACTCTCTAAAGTGTCAAGAAAACTTAATTCTAATAATTCAGGATTCAGGAAGAGATGATCTTCAATCTCAATGGAACCGTATGTCGATCATGATCTATGATGCTTCTCAACAAATTATGGAACTTAATTCTAATAATTCAGGATTCAGGAAGAGATGATCTTCAATCTTAATGGAACCGTATGTCGATCATGATCTATGATGTTTCTCAACAAATTATGGAACTTAATTCTAATAATTCAGGATTCAGGAAGAGATGATCCGCAATCTTAATGGAACCTTATGTCGATCATGATCTGTGATGCTTCTCAAGAACTTATGGAACTTAATTCTAATGATTCAGGATTCAGGATCAGAGATGATCCTCAATCATCATGGAACGAAAATGCGTGGTTGATGAAATTGATTTTTTGAGCTTTTGTTAGTCGGCAGCTTTTCGACTTGCGCTTAGCATCGGTTGTTAACATAGCGGGCCGTCGTGGCAAGGAAAGGCCAACGTGAGTATCAGTTTCATTGGGCACCAGACGGAGTCTTGCCATTGGCCGAAAAACCGGCGTCGTTGTAACGCCCTTGTTTGTTTGTCATCATTTCGTCAAGATCCATCCTACCTTTTATATTGTGACAAGAACATCATCAGATTAAACTGGGCCCCCGAAAACTTACTTAACATACACGTACGTGTGTGCATTTTCATAATGCGTTCCCCGTCATGCGGGCGCCTATTATTATTTTTAACTGGCGAGCGCCGAAAAAAGAACAAAGAACTAACGACATCGAATCACCGAAAAATTAAATAGGTAGTTTATTGACACAGTCGCGTCTAATTTGTTTAATAATAATAGAATTGTAGACGTGATGAATCACTACACGAAAATAATGATGATTTAGGTTTACCAGCATAATTATCTTGTTAGCCACTCAACAACAACAACAACTGATTACTTACTTAAACCGTTTTTCCGTGTAATGACGGTAATTTTGATATTCTTTTCTTCTGTCTGGTTTCTCAATTACAGCAGCAAACATGTTTCTGATTCTAATTTTTTATTAGGTGTGGACCTTAGTTTCTTGCAACTTTTAATACTTATCTACCTAATTTTAAAATCTTGTATCTATATATAAAAGCAAGAATCTTCAAGCTTCAAACCCGGAGAATCTATAAATCCTAATGCGATCTCTGTAATGTTTGGTGTAAAAATAACCGAGTATCAAGAAAATCCAAACTTCAGATCTTCCAATTCATCTATTTCATTGAAGATTATGAAAAAGTCCATTGATTTATAGGTATATTGTTAAGTAATATCATAAAGACCTTTTAGATTTGTGTAAGATCAAGGTTTCTTTCATCTTCTTAAAATTATACTTCATTCCTCATCCTTTAGCATCATATAATCGTCAGTTCCAAGACTGGATTGATAGGTAGGAAGATTGTTAATGTTTCATGCCCTAAAGAATGGCCAAAAGAGAAACAGAGATCATCTTTAGACGTTATTTCTTGGCTGGATCATTTGATTTGAATTTATGCAGGTTTTATGGCTGTTACAAATTTTCAGACCTGTCATTCATGTCTATAAAGAAGTGTATCCATGGTATGAAAATTGAAATCATCACCAGTGCTTCTAAAGCATTAAAAGTAACAAAACGATTTCCAATTTTCCTAGAATGATGTGTGGTAGTAGGTATATAATTACCAAATTAAAAAGAAATCTTCCGATTTCACAAACTAATATTAGTTTGTGCTCATTTTTCATCAACGTCTTTGATACCAAATTCATAGTAATGGGTTATTACTTTGACAAAAGGTTATTATTGCTTATACCTTTTCAATACATCATAATACAGAATAAGCTGCAGAAAAAATATGTGAATGGGAACTTTAGAACTTACACTCACGTTGACGTAGAAAACGAAATTTGATTAATGCCTTAAACAAATAATTTATTTTATATACGTACAACATAATGATTGACCATAGCATGTACCTACAGTTTTCTTGTTTGATAAAGCACAAGGATTGCATCGAATTAAGTAGTTAAAAAACCATTACCGATCCCAATATTTCGGCCGTTTGATGGTTGTGTAACAACATAATGTTCTGGCCATAAATGAAATTTTAACGATAATTTATAATCTTTTATTCAACACATATGTAGATACAACAGTAGAATAAATAATTAGCCGTCCATATTTCTTTTATACAATCTAAAAGGCGACATACCTACAATATGAATAATCACATTTACCTTGTCTTACTTACTTCTTCCTTTCTTTGAAAAGTTTCTCTTTTTTTTTCGATTTTACTTGCTGTATCGTGAAATAAAAAAAATTCTTTTGGATGAAACCCACTTCTGCTAGGTATATCTATTCAAAACTCCTTTTATTTGATAAATAATTATGCTGCAGATATTATTATTATTATGGTCTATTCAAGAGATTATTAATTTTACGTATGTATCTCTAAAAAAAAATTAATCTTATTGTAATTTAATTTCGCTGAGAACTTTCTCAAAAACTCAAATGCACTTCTGCTATTTTTTTATACCTACGTGTAGACATCAATCATGGTTTAATCAATGTCGAATAGCGATGCGGTCTACCAGGAGTTCATAAAACTGAGAAGCCGTTCAGACCGTGTACTCGCTCTCGCTTATTATGAAGCATGAAGTCCCAGATTTAGGATACGAAATAGGAAAATTTCATTTCCGGATGTCTCTAAACCCGGCGTGAAAACCCCCGCCGTTTGTAAACAACATTTTTCAAACACATCTTGACATCTTTATCCTATTTTGACACTCTTTTTTTTAACTTGACTACTTCAAAAGAATCGTCTTCAGATATCAAAGGAAGAAAATACGTGACATTAACCCCCCGTCGAGAATACCGTTAAAATTATTATTTTTTTTTTGTAATTAAGGTGGGTACCATTTGAAGTTAAAATAAAATACATATTTTTAACTCTAATAGTTTATTTTATGCAGCATCGACACTTAACTTTATATATTTGTATATAAATGACATAATATGCTATCTAATCTTTAAATATTCTACAAGGTCTATAATTTCATCAACCAAAACAAGTACTCTCAAATACAGGGTGTTAAAAAAATTTCACTTCACAAACTGGAAAGGTAATAAAAATGAAAGGAAACAAAAATATATTTCTTTCAATTCAAAAGCGGCATTAAAAATTCAATGTTACGAACAGATTCTTCTTTAACACCCTGTATGTATAAACTACAGAATTATATTGCATCAATTGTTCAATTTACAAGACTTAAATTTTGCAAGTTATAATATAATCGGCAGGCATCTAAAAATATCACGTGAGCCTCGCTGGCGAGAAGGGCCGATGCAATGGGGGAGGGTTCGTGGGAGGACTGGGATCAGCAATCCTTACAATACCCCCATGAGAAGGAGTCGTCCCTAAATGCAGCGTTGTGTGAGGAGACGGTTGTGGCAGCATCCTACTCGACGATGTCACCTGTAACAAATGCGAAACTTTAGATAATAACAAAGGAATGCTTTAGGGGATGATTTACTGACCTGTATCCTCAGTGGTGTTGTTATTTGAGGCGTAACTCCTAATCTTAGATGCATGGCAGCGTCAGGATGCATTCGGAGGTGGTCCGGAATTCTCAAATGATCCGGGATCCTGAGATTGATAGGTGGGGAGTGCTGGTGAAGGGTGGTTTGCGGGGGCGAATTGCTCAGACTTATAGGACTACTCTTGCTGTTATCTTGTCTAAAACCCGAATTCGAATCGTCCACCAAATCGTGGCTCAACTGCCTGTCAAACTTTAGTCCACCTGAAAGTAAAAATAAGCATTCAGTTTTTCTGATGTGTCTAAAAAATCCGACAAAAACAGATTGTATCTGTGTAGCTATCGGGTTGTTCGGAAAGTCATTTCGTTTTTTCGACAGAGGATTTAATTGTATTCTTTTGCACCCAACTTCACATTTAAGCCGTATAATTTTTATATGCTTTGAGAGCTCATATAGCAAGGCTTGTGTGTGAAAAATTCCAATTAATTCTACGCAGTAGTTTTTGGTTGGTGCCCTTTTAAATATGGAGAGCGATAAGCAGCATTTTCGACATATCTTACTGTTTTACTACAGAAAGGGTAAAAATGCTGTTCAAGCCAGAAAGAAATTGACTGATGTGTATGGAGAAGGTGTGTTGACAGTACGCCAGTGCCAGAACTGGTTCGCTAAATTTCGATCCGGCAATTTTGATGTCGAAGATGCACCACGTTCGGGAAGGCCGGTTGAAGCTGATAAAGACGCGATAAAGGCATTAGTTGATGTGAACCGGCGAATAACAACACGTGAGATCGGATTGAGGTTAAATTTATCAAATTCAACAGTTTATGACCACTTGAAAGGCCTGGGATTATCCTCGAAGCTCGATGTATGGGTTCCCCATGTTCTCACAGAGAGAAATCTGTGTCGCCGCATTGACGTCTGCGATTCGCTTCTCAAACGTCACGAAAATGATCCGTTTTTGAAGCGCATCATCACTGGGGACGAAAAATGGGTTGTATACAACAACGTCAAACGCAAGAGGTCATGGAGCAAAAAAGATGAACCGGCTCAAACCATTTCCAAAGCCGATATTCACCAAAAAAAGGTGATGCTGTCTGTTTGGTGGGATTTTAAAGGAATCGTTTTTTTTGAGCTTTTACCGGATAACACAACGATTAATTCGGAAGTCTACTGTCATCAGCTGGACAAACTGAATGATGCACTTCAACAGAAAAGGTCAGAACTAATCAACAGGAAAGGTGTAGTGTTTCACCAAGACAACGCGAGACCTCACACAAGTTTGGTCACTCGCCAAAAGCTTTTACAGCTTGAATGGGATACAATGCTACACCCACCATATTCTCCAGACCTGGCACCATCGGATTATTATTTGTTCCGGTCACTCCAAAATTTTTTAGACGGTAAAACCTTCACCTCAAATGAGGAGGTCAAAAACCTCCTCGATCAGTTTTTTGCCAGCAAAGACCAAAAATTTTATGAGCGTGGAATTATGCTACTACCAGAAAGATGGCAAAAGGTGTTGGACCAGAACGGTCAATATATAATTTAATAAAGTATTTGTTTATTATACGAAAACTGTCTTTCATTTCCACAAAAAAAAAACGAAATGACTTTCCGAACAACCCTATATATAGGAAACAAATTTATTGATTACTTAAAATAACTTTTTCCAACTACGGCGGCGCTAAATTCTCAATACTACAACACAACAACTGAAGGATAATAATAAAGAGAAAGAGAAAGAAAATAAGGGGAATGTAATTTTGAATGTATCTTACCCATAATTCGTCCGCCACCACCTTCGCCAGGGGGCGGCTGCGGAGGTGGCGAGTGCTGGTGTTGCTGATGCTGCTGCGCGAATCGATATTGCGCGGGCATGGGACCGGGAGAATGGGGACCGAAGCGAAACGTGCTGATCGGCGTCGGGGTGGACGCCGGAGACGTCGTGAACCGTAGCGGCGTCGTAGGTGAGGCGGCAGGAGGCGAGTGGGTACCCAGGGAGATGTCCGAATCGCTATCGGAAGTCTGTGGAGGCGACGGACGAACACCGCCCCCATGCGATGCCAGTTGAGCTGCAAGCTGCTGTTGCTGCATCCTGGAACAATAAACAAATGTTAATAAGTAAATTGTAGAGGATCTAAACTGGACCCCTGCGGAACACCATAAAGAATTAATGTCCATCAGTACAAAGATACTAGAAGAAAAATTAGAAGAAGTGACTGACTTTTGATATCTAGGAAGTCAGATAAGTCAGAACGGAAGGAGTAGTAGGCGAAATAGGTTGGTAGGACACCTTCTCAGGCATGAAGGTCTAGTCAGGGAGATATTAGAGGCAGAAACAGGAGTTAGGAGGAGTAGAGGTTGACCTAGATTAGATTACTCTTCACAAATAGTTAAGGACGTGGGATGTTCTCAGGATAGAAAAGAGTGAGGGTGCGTGTCCAACCAGTCTTAGGAGTGACGACCTTATGATGATGATGAATATAAAGAGAGCATCAAATAATAGAAAATAAGAGTCATTTTTAGAAAATGAAGCAGGATGCTTTTAGTGGTGAAATCAAGGAAATTTCTTCGATAGAATTTCATCGATATTGAAAATATAACTGAAATTTTTCAAAGGAATTCAAAATGCTCAAGTAAATTTTGCATTAGATTAATTCTCCGAATTAGAAATGTGTTAAGGCAAATTAAGACAACCTATTCACGAAATTTCATCAATATTGTAGTTGAGAATTAGGTTTTTGTCTACCTATTCTCAAATTCATGAAAAACATGAACTAAATCTGCTTCTATAAATCTATATGTCGAAGTAAGAAGAAGAATTCACAACTAACGAAGATTGCGTAGAGAAAAAGAAAATTCATGTAGATAGTCGTTCGATCCTCCAGTGTTTCTTAATTTACGAAAATTGTAATTTCAGTGAGTTTAAAGGGGAATGATTTAGAGATATCCGTCAGTGAAATTGTAATCGCTGATTGACGAAGTGGAATAAACGAGACGTTTTCGTAAAGTCGATATGGGTTGTCGTCTTTGATGCGAGTCGATGTTAACAGGCTATTCTCTAAACAAACGAAATTAACATTGGCCCTGCTGCTGGTCCGTATATACCTTGGCAGCCCTCTGGCACTCATTTCAATATCTAATCCGTTTAATGCGACGTTGTATGAGTTATGGTAACGATTCTACCCCGCCAAAAGGAAAAACGAACAAGCGGTAGGATTATCGAGTTAAGAGGAGCCACAATGAATTACAAATTCCATTATCAATCTCTATCCGAACTAACTGAATCTTTATTAGTTTAGAGCGCGCGAACTGCAGGGATAAATACGCGCCAACGTCGCAACTGCCGGGGATGTACCGGTGGTAAAGTACCTAACGGCATGTTTGTCTTTCGTGTGATAATTTGCGTGTAAGCAATTAAGTAGTTTACCCCCCAGTTTTCGACGACTTCCGAGTACATTACTTCAGCCACAACGATGGGTGGCGTATTTTGAAAACCTTAGAAGCCCGTTAACTTCAACTTTGTTTCATCGTCACGATCTGACTCGCGGTCTTCAGGTTTTCAGACGATATTTCAGGACATAAACGAGCACAAAACAAGTCACCTAATTAAGGAATCAATTTTGAAACAGTAATGACATGTGTACAGTAGTTGCTATTAAAATCAAAGTAATGTAATACGTTTTAATTCCTAACAGTTTGCTAAACCTGAGGATTCTATAACCGTCGTACTCATTTTGAACTCAGACGGGCTCATGTGTGACATGCCGCTACGCTAAACCGAGCAACAAATGAGTAATATAAATATGTCGTGCTTGAAATGTACACAATTAAATGTATTACAGACGGAAGTAATTCGCAAGCTTTCTATATGATGTTACAGACTTGTACGAATACTTCTTTATGCAGTCAAATTTATATACTCTAAAGAGTTATGCATTTAAAATTTTAATTGTTTAATTAGTGCGCAAGCACTTGAATCGAAACTAGAATATTTTAAATTCAAAATGAATAATAAATTTTAATGTGTACACGGTGTTCTGTATGCATCGCTGAGAGCTCTCTTCATGTATACTCCATTTCGAACTCATCTTTGACATACCACTGTTAAGGAAAACCGAGTTACAAGTGAGTACCGTAGGCTTTCCACCAAGAATTTACCATTAATATGCCCTAATTACCTAAAAAATGTAAAGGATTTCAAATTTATTCCTTAAAATTGACTATTTCATTAATTGCTATCGAGAAAATTGAAATTTTGCTGAATATCTATGAAAGGCGAGACACTGAAAAAGAAATGGAATAAATGTTCAACTAATCTACATACCTACTAGAGGTTGGGTTATAAATAGATGTGTTAATTTATAACGAACAGGATGATTCTGCATTTCGAGTGCTCGTCCTAACAAGAAAATGGGAAATATTAATCAAGTTCGTTTTAATATTAATTAATTCAATTCTCATGTGCATAAAGTTAATTAAGCGACGTCATTCAATCATAGACTTTTTACGATCTTGACTCGGGTTACCGTTCAATAGGAATGACTTACGAAATATGCATCAGTTATTCTACGGAAATGAGTGTTTCAAGTATCACTTCAAATCAATCTAACAAATATGCTAATTTGTTGTAATGTAGTAATAATACAAGTATATTTGTTTAGATATCCAGTAATTAAGCGAATATGATACAGGAAAACATAAATGTATGCATAACTGCTGATGTAATTAATACATCTATTTTTTTGTTCGAAGTAAATCATACCTATACAGTGCAGGGCTCTTGCTGATCTTAACAATTTATTAGTGAGGCTCGTGGAATATTTTACTAAACTACTAAACCTTTTGGTTGAAATTTTAGTCTATTATTAAGTTCGGATCTGATGTTGTCAACCCGTCGCAAATCTCTCCCTTTAGTTTGTAAAATAATTCTTCAGTTCATCACCATCATCATACCGAGCGGCATGGCCTAGAGGTCTAGACCATTGCTTAGCATTCGGGAGGACGCCGGTTGGATTCCGGGTCCGCCTGCCTTGGTCGAAGTTTTTCTGTGGTTTTCTTGGATCACTTAGGTAAATGCTGGGGCAGTAATATTCCACAGATAATCATTCATTCTCTTCTGTCTTCATTTCGTCCGTCTCATCTTTCTCACCCCAACCACCACCCACCCATTCTCACGATTCCTGAAAGCTGGCTGAAGAGGGCCTTCCGCCCTACCTTCCGGCGTAGTCCGGAGGGACTGCCCGCCCACTAACATTACTGGCTGGTGGGAATGAAACACCCAAAAGTTGTTTTTTTTTTCATCATTATCATAAGATCGTCAGTCCTAAGACTGGCTGGACATGTACATATATCTTCTAATCCTGAACTAATTTCCCAAAAACTAGAACATCCTGAACTATTTGTGAACAGTAATCTAATCTAGGTCTACCCCTACTCCTGTTTCTGGACTTCCATAGAGTCCTTTGTTTTCCTATTCTTCCTAATACATCTTCATTTCTGACTATCTCTATCCACGCTATTCTCATCATTCGCCTGCATCACCACATTAAGAAAAAGGTTTTAACTTTTTCTTTTGCTCCGATAAATATCGAAAATTATCCACTTCAACTAATTTTTCGTCTTCTACCTTTATATATTCACCCTGTCCCTACTTTTTTTTCTTGATCTATCACCAGAAATTGCTTTTCACAAAAATCATCATTTTTGGCGACGATGATACTGAAAATGTCATACAACTACTAGAATATTATACTATACACATATAACGTCGTCAAAACTGATAAAGACAGCTAAATTTCACATAATTCACAAGATTAAGTATTATTAGGTCATCATTATCTTCCTCTCATGAGCTAATCTTCGCATTTCCCTAAAACTAGAACATCCCACAACCATTAGATAATGAAGTTTTATGTATTAATCTTTACTATCTGCTTGCATGTGTTGTAGATTTTCAAAATCTTTTAATTCTGCATGATTATGACAGTGCAGTACCTAATGACCAAAAAAGGTAAATTGTTCCTGAGGAACTGTGATGGGTATTGTTTTTGATTGGCGCCAGTTGATGTGGATACCTGTTTTCGTTTTTATTTCTTTAGCTGTCACTTCGATAAAACGTTAAGGATTAAAGAATATCCTTTAATAATTATCGAAGTATTATAATACACAGGTAACCTCTGGTAGCTGTCTGTCTTACATATGATTTCTATCTTTCCAACCACTGTCATGAGCATATATATATATGTAGGCATATGTACGTATGTGTGGTCAATCACTTATTATTTGACAGTCAGCCATTCGGTTGGTTACTTTTATTAGATCGTCGAATCGTGGTATCGGTCCTTGTTTATTCGAAAATATCTTCGATAAAACGAATTAACAATGGATGGTATCTCGGCGTGGCGTTGCGTGGCAGGATGACAATGCAAGTCCTGGGGTTGAGAAAAACAAACTGAAACCACGCTGGCGCCACACTTCCGTCGGCCATCGTCGATGCCAAAAGCATATGGGAAATATCGGCGAAGGTATACATATATAAAATTAAAGCATCCCGGGTTCCCGTATTAAATTACTGAACACATAAAAACATGTACTTTTCTATTATTTATATAAACAAACTGTTAAAGTGTTTTCAAATACTTAACCGAGGAGACGAAATGGTAGAGAGAAGTTGTCAGAAGTTTGTTTTTCTGTGTCAGTCCCCCTCAGAACTCCTTTGAAAACCACGACGAAAAACGACAACTCATTTATACTCTCAACGCTTATCTTTTTATAAACTGTCACTAATTGATCCTACAAGCTGCAACCATTATTTTATACAAAGAATTATTCTCTACGTTATTACTAATACAATAATCTTATCAACTCAAATACTACAGTTAGCAGCAGTTTTTGTTAAAACATACATAATCACTTAAATAAAGATAATTTTTAACTTTCTTCAGGTAAATATTCTTGGTTTTCTTTAATCAACTTTCTAGTAAAGACTGACAAGGTAAAAAGGACTGTACTGTCTCATAAATTTTCTCTGGTAGTATTCATAAGAATTTCCAGGTGCTTCACCTACATCCAATATTTTTATCAGACATTACA